GGGGGGGGGGTCGATAAAGCAATTTTGATATCGTTTGGCACGAAAAGTATTGGTGGTAGTTTAACTGGCTCCGACAATACATCGCATTACGCCCGTTTAAGATTGAACTTTGTCAATGGATTGCAGCCAACGCCGCATCGTTCTGGCGATCTGACGACAATGGCATCACTGTCGGTACCTACTTAATATACAGGCCCTCATTAATTGAATGAAACCTCTCACAGCACTTATATAAGTTCTCCGAGTGTCCCTCGCTAACACTTACGGGTATTAATGCGCCCAGTGCCGACACATTGCCAATTTGATGCGAGCATATCTGTCCGATGCACAATAAACAGCAAACGGTTGTTAGATGTTCAGATCAGAGTGAATGGCCTGCTATCAATACCTTACAGAAGTTATTGTCCATCTAATAAGCCTGGTGATTTTTTTTTTTTTTTTTGAAAGAAAACGAGCGCCGACGGATGGCTTTTAGCTACACGTGTTTAAATATCGACATGCCGCGGACGTTGGTGACACCATTCCTGCGAGAACACGATCTTAAGTAGGGTTTAGAAATCTCCAAGCGGCACCTGAAACGTCTTCAGTACTTGCCGTAACATGCAAGTTTTGAATCAAATTTGACCGTGAAGCCAAATCTGGAGAGAAGCGGAAGAAAACCACGAGCGTTCAGTGCTTCGCACCTGTTTACCGTGCATACAAAACGCACAGCAAATATATGCAGACTTGTTAAAAAAAAAAATACGAACCTAGACTGAAGGCAGCAGGGTGGAGCACTGCACAAAGTACACATATTGTATGCGACAACCACAGTTTAAGAGATAGGGTCATTGAAGAAAATGTTCTTGCGACGAACCTGGACAAGTGCAGCGGCAATAAAACAACCTTTAAAGAAAGATGGAAGCTTATGAGCGGGCGATTTCAGACTCTGCAGAGCTATTGTGGGTCCCTGGCTACATCTTTCCCTACATTTGATATTAGTAAGACTAGATTGTCTATGGTAATGTTGATACATTCATATATACTTGCTTACAGTAAAGGCAATGATGCCCCACACTACATATACCCCTTTATTAACTTGCCTCCTAGTCCTTCTAATAATCTAATAGGGGGAAACGGTAAAATTTACTTAATGAGGCCTGCTAATACAGCATACCTAACCGCGTTGTTTACGAAAAGCATATCTAAATTTCTTATCCTGGATAATCATCAGAGCACAACCAGAGTGGTCATTGAGGTACCGGTACACAACTGTACTAGTACTGTATTTTACAGAAATCCTCTTTGTACATCTACAAGTATCGTACAGAAGTCTCCCTCGATAAGAGTAGCTCGGGTTTGTATAACCTGTCATATCTGCTGACTTGGATCTGACAAATTGAAAGTACTTTCTATCCAGCTTTTGTGTTCCTCT